TTAATCGGATATCTTTGGACTGAGATATGGCCCAAATACTGCACCTTGCTCAGGATCCGCGACTGTAGCGTTTTGACTTTTTTCCAGGCTCAGTTTTAGCTTCTTATCATCAGAATTGGTTTCTGACCTCTCATAGAAATTGTGCACCTCTCTCTTAGCTTTCCTACAAATCAAGAATCAAAATGAAAAGAGTTCTACAACTCAAGATATGGTCCAGAAACCAAAATAGTATCAGAATTTGCCAAATACTGGAAAAATTAAATAAAGCCCAAATAGAATTCAAACATCATAAAATGATCCAATTCAACCAATTAAGCACAAAAGAAGATTAATGAGCTAGGAATGAGAAGAAATAATGTTATAAAAATCCAATTGATCAAATTGCCCCACACTTAGCTCTTGCATGTCCTCATGTAAGAAGACACAATCAAGCAAATAAAAACATGTAACCTAAAAAATCATAGAATAATCAAAACAAATAAACAAATTCTCCAATGAATCCTTAGAAGTGATGAACTTAGGGACACAAGATCAAATAAAGCATCAAGAGTTCTATAACAATCAAACATCCAACTCCCAACCTCTCAAAAATGCAAGCCAAGCAATATCATTCAAAGTGTATAGATCAAGCATGAAAGATCTCACAAGATGGTGTATACAACTCAACTCTCAAGTGTATGGTTCAAAGTGTTTCACTCAAGTTACCTCAAAAGACAATGCATTACCATAAGCTTATTAATCTTCTACTTCTTACTACTTACAATCATATGGAAACACAAATCAAGAGGACTTTATTCAATGGTTGTAATGGGGCTAATGTAAAATGACAAGATACAACCAAAGAGAATAGGAATAACATTGGTCCTTAGACAAATCAAGCCATAACACACATTTACTTTCCTTGGAATTTCTTTTCCTTTTATCAAAAATTCTCATTTTCTTTGTAAATTATTATTATTATTTTTTCTTTTTTTTTCTTCTTTTTTTTTCTTGCATTCTTTCCGAACCCCCACACTTGAAATACAATAACATTAATGAAACCAATGCACTCCCTATTCCCTAAGGTTAGGTATAACATGGTTTTCCACTTAAAGCTTATAATGTGCTAGAAGCCAAAGAATAGTCAATAAGGCTCAAAGGGACTAAACAAAGGACAAAATGCAAGGTAAGCTATATGGCCAAGTGAGTACAAATTTGAAAGAAATGCCTCTATCATGTTCATAATTGCATATGAAAATTGTAGCCTCAAAGAAGAATCAAAACAACTTCTAGAATGATAAAATCTAAGAGGGAAAACACACAAGAAAGAAAAGAATGACATGAATTTTAACCATCCAAAAATAAGGCTCAAAAGCTCGCAAAGGTAAAGTCTAACATACTCAATCATACAAATCAAAATCAATCACCCAATTCACATATATCAAGAGGAAGAAGCAAAAATAAAATCATGTAGGAACTCTATCTTCCTTAATGACTAATGCCTTAACTCAACAACTTCTAATTCAACAAAGGAAAACAAAGCAAAACAAAAACAATGCTAAATAATAAAGTTACTCTCCCCCCCACACTTCAACTTTACATTGTCCTCAATGTAATGCATAATGGAAATGTAAAATATAGTAAGGAAAGGCAAAGGAGAACTCCCTAATCAAGCATAAGTGGCCGCTAGCAAGCGGACCTCCTCAATGGTCTCCAAGGGTGTGTCTTCATGAAAAGGCTTCAAGCGGTGGCTATTCACTGTGAATACTTCATCTGTTCTAGGCTCCAAAATCTGTATAGCACCATATGGAAAAATCTTAGTTACTATATAGGGGCCAAGCCACCTAAAATGAAGCTTACCTGAAAAGAGCTTGAGGCGAGAATTGTAGAGAAGCACTTTCTGGCCTATGGAGAATTCCTTTCACAGCAACATCTTATCATGAATGAGTTTTGTCTTTTCTTTGTACATGCAGGAGTTCTCATAGGCTTCCAACCGAATCTCCTCTAACTCCTGAAGTTGGAACTTCCTGTGAAGTTCGGACTGGCTCATATCAAAGTTACAGTTCTTAACTGCCCAATATGCTTTGTGCTCAATTTCCACCGGAAGGTGGCATGCCTTGCCAAAGAAAATTCTATAGGGGGACATTCCCAAAGGGGTCTTGTAGGCAGTGCGGTAAGCCCATAGTGCATCTTCAAGCCTCTTGCTCCAATCCTTCCTGTTTGTCTGAACTGTTTTCTCCAGAATATGTTTTAGCTCCCTATTTGATACCTCTGCCTGTCCATTAGTCTGCGAATGGTATGGAGTTGAAACCTTGTGAGTGACACCATATTTCTTTAGTAGGGATGCTATGTTCCTGTTACAGAAATGGTTTCCTTGATAACTGATGATTGCCCGAGGTACTCCAAACCTGCAAAGAATGTGTGATTTGACAAAATCTACAACAACATGAGAGTCATCAGTTCGGGTGGCCTTGGCCTCCACCCACTTGGAGACATAATCATTAGCCAACAAAATATAAACAAAACCAAATGAGACAGGAAATGGACCCATAAAATCAATACCCCAAACATCAAATATCTCACAAAACAATAATGGTTGTTGAGGCATCTCATTTCTACGGGAGATAGTACCTGTCTTCTAACATTGTTCACAATTCTTACAATAAGTGTAAGAATCTTGAAACAATGTGGGCCAGTAAAAATCTGCATCTAAGACCTTCCTAGTAGTGCGTTGTGGCCCAAAGTGACCACCACAAGCAAGTGTATGACAAAAATGCAAAATGGAAGAAATCTCAAGCTCATGCACACAGCGCCTAATAATCTGATCACTACACATGCGCCACAAATAAGGATCATCCCAGACATAATATTTGGCCTCACTCCTAAGTTTCTCTATCTGATGCTTTTTAAAATAAGCAGGCAATTCAGAGGCAACTAAATAGTTAACCAAGTCAGCATACCACGGGTCCTTACCTCGCAGCTCTAAAAGCTGCTCATCTGGAAAGTTCTCACGGATAGTTAGAGACTCCAAAGTCTGTGGAATTCGACTCAAATGGTCCACCACCAAGTTCTCAACTCCACTCTTATCCTTGATTTCTATGTCAAACTCCTGTAACAGCAACATCCACTTGATGAGTCTGGCTTAGCATCCAACTTTTTTAATAGGAACTTCAATGCTGCATGATCAGAGAAAACAGTCACTTTAGTTCCTAACAGATAAGCATGAAATTTATCTAAAGCAAAAATGATAGCCAGAAGCTCTTTTTCTGTAGTAGTGTAGTTAGCTTGTGCAGAATCCAGAGTCCGAGAAGCATATGCTATGACATGAGGGATCTTTCCAATTCTTTGGGAAAGTACAGCTCCAACTGCAAGGTTTGATGCATCACACATGAGCTTAAATGGATACTCCCAGTTTGGTGACTGAAGGACAAGAACAAAAATTAGGTGTTGCTTCAATTGATCAAAAGCTCTCCTGCACTCATCATCAAACTGGAAATCTATATCCTTCTGCAGAAGCTTGGAAAGTGGAAGGGCAATTTTACTGAAATCCTGGATAAATCGCCTGTAGAAACCTGCATTACCAAGAAAAGAATGCACTTCCTGCACACATGTAAGGTAAGGTAAAGAAGCAATAACATCAATCTTGGAACTATCAACAGCTATACCCTCACCAGAAATAACATGTCCTAAGACTACACCTTGCCTAACCATAAAATGACACTTTTCATAATTCAAAACAAGGTAAGACTCAACATATCTCTTCAATACCCTAGCAAGGCTATCCAAGCATGCATCAAATGAAGTACCATAAATAGTAAAATCATCCATGAAGACTTCCATGCAATTCTCTAGAAAATCAAAAAAAATGCTCACCATGCATCTCTAAAATGTACCTGGGGTATTGCATAGACCGAAAGGCATCCTCTGGTATGCAAATGTACCAAATGGATAGGTGAAGGTTGTCTTCTCTTGATCCTTAGGTGCAATGTGAATCTTAAAATAACCAGAGAATCCATCAAGAAAACAGTAATGTAGCTGACCTGCCAATCTTTCCAGCATCTGATCAATGAAGGGTAATGGGAAGTGGTCCTTCCTGGTGGCCTAGTTCAGCTTCTTGTAATCAATGCAGACCCTCCAGCTATTCTACACTCTTGTGGGAACTAGCTCATCCTTCGAGTTCTTTACTACTGTTATTCTGGTCTTTTTTGGAACCACTTGCACCGGGCTCACCCACTTGCTGTCTGAAATTGGGTAAATGATGCCAGCATCTAGAAGCTTGCTGACTTCTTTCTTGACCACATCCAGAATCAGAGGGTTCAATCTCCTCTGAGGCTGCCTCACTAGTTTTACTCCCTCCTCTAACTGAATTTTGTGCGTGCATGTGGAGGGGCTAATCCCAGGTATGTCAGCCAATGTCCATCCTAAAGCATTTATGTTCTGCCTCAGAATGTTTAGCAACTTCTCTTCTTGTTCTGGTTGCAAATCCTGAACTATTATGACTGGCAGCTTCTCATCTGGTACCAAGAATGCATACTTCAAATTTTCTGGTAAAGGTTTCAGCTCCAAGGTGGGTGGCTCTTGTATGGAGGGTGCTAATCTTAGAATCTGCTCTATTTTTCTAATCTCAATACCTGTAATGTGTGAAAAATCTTGCACAAGAGCATTATCATATCCCATAACAGAAAGATCAACATAAGAGTTATTTGCACAACCCACAGAATAATCAGAATATGCACAATCAGTATTTTCCACTATTGCAAAATTAGAATCAGAATCTGTTCTAATAACTTCAACATGTAACTCCTCAAAAAAATTCTGTTCAGAATCTAAACCATATATGCATGCATTAAATTCGGCACAAACAACACATAAATCATGAATTCCATCACAATCTGAACATTGAAAGTCATCTCTAATGCCTACAATTTCAGGAAACTCAACACACAAATTCTTATGCATATCATCAACCAATGTATCAATGATATCTAAATGAAACACATAATGCTCTTCTGGTGGATATCTCATGGCATCATGCAGTTTAAAATGCACCTTGTTTTATCTCCAAATTCCATGGATAAAGTACCAGAGTGTACATCAATCTTAGTTTTAGCAGTTTTCAAATATGGCCTACCTAAGATCAATGTTGGTTGATTAACATCATCCTCCATGTTTAACACATAAAAATTAGCAGGAAAAATAAGATCATTTACTCTTACCAACACGTCTTCTAAAACTCCCTTAGGGTGTGCTATGCTTTGGTTGGCAAGTTGGATCACCACTCCCGTTGGCTTGAGCTTCCCAATGTGCAAAGACTGGTAGACTGATTTTGGCATCACATTGATTGAAGCTCCAAGGTCAAACATGGCTTGACTAAATTGCTCGCTTCCTATGATGCATGGAATGGTGAAAGTCCAAGGATCCTTGCATTTTGGAGGAATGCTCGGCTGAATGATGGCAGAAACATTTCTGCCCATGCTCACTTTTTCATTTCCCTTTTGCCTTCTTCTATGAGTGCACAAGTCCTTGAGAAACTTGGCATACTTTGGAATTTGTTTGATAGCTTCTAGGAGTGGAATATTGACTTCAACTTTCCTAAAAGTTTCCATGATCTCCTTGTCCATTTCTGCCTCTACTATCTTCTTATTTTGAGTCACTCTATTTGGAAAAGGCAGCGAAATGTTTGGTTCAGAATGGCTATTGTCTCTCTTGTTGGATGGCTCTGGTTGCTCTTCAGTTGCATCTATCTCTGCAGAAGTTGATTTTTCTGCTGCAGCATTTGGATCTTCATGCTGCTTGCCACTTCTCAAAGTGATGGCACTCACATTCCTTGGATTACTCACAGATTGGGAGGAAAGGTTGCCAGAACCTTGGGATTTCAGCTCATTTACTGTTGTAGCCAACTGACCAATCTGTGTTTGCAGATTCTGGATGCTGGCTTCTGTTCTCTGCTGAAACTGGACACTGCTGGTTGCCATCTGCTTCACCAAATCTGCTAGACTCGGTTCTGAGCTACTGTTTTGTGGTTGGTCTGGTTTAGCTTGCTGTGAATATTGCTGCCTCATGTTTGGTTCTGCAGCATAGTGCCTGAACTGATATTGAGGTTGCTACTACTGCTGGAACTGATTAGAATTACCATACCTTAGATTTGGGTGATCTCTCCATCCGAGATTGTATGTATTGGAAAAGGGGTCATAATTCCTTTGCTGCTGCTGTTGTTGGAAAGGTTTTCTAGGAAAAATTCCAGCAATTGTTTCATTGGTTCTTGCATCTGTGGACATTGATCTATTGCGTGAATTGGCAGCCAAATTCCACAAATGCTTGTTGCTGTTGGAATGGACTACTGAGGTTGTTGTGTTTGACCGAGTGCCAAATGCCTCACCAAAGTTGTCAACTCTTTTATTCTGTTCTCCATCCTTTACTGGTTTGTATCAAGGGTCTTCACTTCATTCACTTCTCTTGTAGACATCATGGCTGGGGTACCAAACTGTTGTGCATTGGCAGCCATGTTTGCAATCAATTCACAAGCTGCAGTGGGAGTTTTGTCTACCAAAGCCCTTCCAGAAGAAGCATCAACTATACTTCTATCCATTAGCATGAGACCTTCGTAAAAATATTGAATGAGGAGCTGGTCGCTGATTTGATGGTGTGGACAGCTTGCACACAATTTTTTTGAACCTCTCCCAATACTCATGTAGAGTCTCTCCAGTAATCCTGCCTTATGCCACAAATTTCTTTCCTAATAGAAGCAGCTCTTGAGGCAGGGAAGAACTTCTCCAAGAACATCCTCTTCATGTCCTGCCAGCTTGTGATGGAACCAGGATGTAAGTAGTACAACCAATCCTTAGCAGATCCCATCCAAAGAAAAAGGAAATGCTCTTAGCTTGATGTGATGCTCCTCCACTCCATGCGGTTTCATGGTTGAGCATACCACATGGAATTCCTTCAAGTGCTTGTGAGGGTCTTCACCAGCTAAACCATGAAACTTGGGCAGCAGGTGTATCAGCCCTGACTTGAGCTCAAAGTCTGCATCCAAATTCGGATACTGAATTGCCAAAGTGTGATAGTTAACATCAGGTGCTGCAAGTTCCTTCAAAGTTCTGTTAGCCATATTAATAATATCCTCGGAATCAGAATGCAAAAACTCAGACTCAGAATGCACAAAAACAGAATGATTAACACTACTAATAGAACCTACACTATTATCAACTTGAATATTAGTAAAGGTAAGCCTTTTATGTGTTCTAATTAAATGATGAAACGTCCTATCAATTTCAGGATTAAAAGGACGCAATTCACCAGGCTTAGCTCGTGTCATGCAACATTAGACACATAAGAATGATGGACACACAATATGCCGACAGAATGCTAATAGAGAAATAAAACCAATGAAATAATTTTTAAAAAATATAGGACCACCACAGAAGTACTAGAAATAAAATTTCCTATTTTTGAAATTTTTTTACTATTTTTAAAAATCCTAAAATACTAAAAAAAATTGAAAAAGTGATCTAAACGATGGAATTTTGGAATTTCAGGGGTGCACCACTCAATTTAGTCCCTACTAGACTCACAATAAATACCTCAACGCAAAAACGCTCAACACAGAACGCAAAACACACTAAGAAAGATTAACACTCTAAATATGTTAAAAACGCCAGTGATTCCCCGGCAACGGCGCCAATTTGACACGAGGTCGTACACGGGTCAAAATAAACCTAATTACTATAGTATGGGGTAAGTAACTAGGGTCGTTTCTCAAAGAATCACAATGGCAAATTAATCTATTTAGAGAGTGTATAAGATGAGTGGGGTTTGTTTATAAAGGAAACAAAAACGCACTTAATTATAATTAGAATGAAGAGTGAACAGAAATTGAAATTCCAATCCAAGAATTAAGAAGAAAATAACTACTCTATCACCAGATTTTTAAGAGAGTACATCAACAAACAATTTGGTAATTAACAATGAATCCGAATGAAACCTCAATTTGAACTCAGCATTCACATGAAGACCTTCATGCATTCGATTAGCACATAATTAATTAAAATTCAGAAAACTCTAGAACCTAATTGAATTGTGCCAATTTAATTTACCAATGCCGTTAATCGTAGTTTTCAAACCTGAAAATCCAATTCATGTTCCTTAAAACTCAATTACATACATCAATCAAATAATACATAATCAACCACATGCATAATCATCAATCCAAACGAATAACTTCAATTCGAAAATATAATTAGCAAAAGGGAGAGAATAAGGAATAGATGAAACCCGAAATTGTTATTGAATTTATGCCAATGTGCAATCAATCAATTCTCAAGAGTCTCACGTCTCTTTTAATCCTTGAATCAGATGAGAATCTAAGCCTTCATGGATGGAGGGAAAAAATTCATGAAAGGGAAAAAAAATGAAAACAGAGAGAAGAGAGAGGAAGAAGAAAGGAGAGGAGCGAAAAAACAACTTAAAATTCAAAATTCAAAATTCAAAATTTTCGTTCGTCACTTTGTTCCTTTTTTTCGGCAATGAAAAATGGCCTCTTTTTGGTTCGTGGCCTGAATGACAATTGTAGCGTTGGATGTTAGCTTCAAAACAACACTGGAATAAGCTTAAGCAGACATCTGTGGACTGAGATATGGCCCAAATACTGCACCTTGCTCAGGATCCGTGACTGCAGCATTCTAACTTTTTCCAGGCCCAGTTTTAGCTTCTTATCATCAGAATTGGTTTCTAACCTCTCATAGGAATTGTGAACCTTTCTCTGATCTTTCCTACAAATCAAGAATCACAATTAAAGGAGTTCTACAACTTAAGATATGGTCCAGAAACCAAAACAGTATCAGAATTTGCCAAATACTAGAAAAATTAAATAAAGCCCAAATAAAATCCAAACATCATAAAATGATCCAATTCAACCAATTAGGCACAAAAGAGGATTAATGAGCTAGGAATTAGAGGAAATAATGTTATAAAAATCCAATTGATCAGTGGATAGCATACATGTTCATAATCCACATAAAAAAAATGATTGTGAAAGTCCATGACATCACAAAAATATGAATGAATGAATGAAAAAGGAGAAAAGAAAGAAAGAAAAATATAGCAAGGCATTTGAGTTGAAAAAGGATTTCCACATAAGGCAAATTAAAAAAAAATGTGGTGAAAGAATGCTTGAACCTTTTAAGTTACATCATTTAAGGCATTCCACTCTAGTTGTTGTACTAAATCACTCAAAAGAACTCCCTCCTCTTGAGTACCCACTTGATCTTGTGACCCTTCTTGATTAAATTTGAGCCTATCCTAACCCTATTTGTGACTAACAAAGCCCTCATGATAGGTGGTTCATTGTGTCTAGGCAAAGGAGATTGAGAATATGGGCAAGCATATGGTAGGGTGAGGCAAAATGCATGGATTGAGGGAAAACACTTAGCCTGAATTGTTCTTGAGTGATGAGTGAAACACCACCTTGTGAGATAGATAGTTTCTTTGCATTATGTGAGTCACATGAAACCTTACTTGATTCTTTTGTTTCAATTTAGTGGGACTTTGCATGGAATATTTGACATGAATATGATTCCTCTGTTGAATGAGTCTATGGTTGTGAAGATGTTGGATGTGCTAATTAAAGCATGAAGTTGGAATGAAAATTTTTGAAAAAAAAAAAATTTGGATAAATCCAACCCTCTTCATTTAATTTGCTTGAATTTTGATTTGCTTGAGGACAAGCAAAAGTTTAAGTTTGGGGTTGTGATGAATCCACTTTTTATTATATTTTTACTTGCCTTTTTGGTGCTCCTTGATAGAAAAAATGGACTTAGATAGTGTAAATAATACATAAATCACATTTTGAATAAATATCATAGGTTTATTAATTTTTTGTTAATTTACATTTAATTACATAGATATAGATTGCAATTTTAATTATCTTGATAATTTTGCAGAGTCCCCAAGCTCATTTTGAGAAATCTTGGCCCTTGGATGAAAGTTGACCCCAAAGTAGCCATTTTCAGGAGCAAAAGTAGCAACTACAGCAAGTATGGGCATTAAAGGGTCCAAAGTAGCTACTTTCAACCTTTATAGTAGCAACTCCAGAAAGCTCCAGGGACGCCACTTGGGAAGCAATATGCGCATGGACACTATTGCCTTTCATAGTGGCTACGCGCATCCAAAGTAGCTACTTTCAGCATGAAAAGTGACAACTCTAGAGAATTTGCAAGCCAACGTAGATACGCGTGAACACTCTTAAGAGCCAAAGTAGACACTTTCAAAGGCAAAAGTGGGCACTTTGCTGACATGTCCTCCACTATAAATAGATTTTAGGAATTAGGGTACGAGAGCTTAGACTTTTAATTTTCTTTCATTCCCTTTGCCAAATTAGGACATTTTTCTTGCCAGAGCTTTGGAGTCTTAGGTGACAGCTAAGGGTCCATTATAGGTTTTAATTTTCAATTTCCCTTTGATTCTCATTGATTTTACATTAATGTTGTTTACGTTTCTGCATTCCCTTCTTTCATTTGTGAAGCCCATCCATATAGAGGGCTGAATTTTCTTGTAATTCCTAGTCAACTCACATGGTTCTTGAATTCTTGGGTTTAATGGCAATATTAATCTTTCTTTCCTTGGATTTATTAACCCTAATCTCTGAATGAAATGAAATTTACATGAGGGGAACATTACTTAATGAACCCTAAATTACCCAAACGAAATTCTAATCCAAAATTGCTTAATTTTGATTAATCTTTGAGATTGCTTAATCTTAGGTATAGAGATTGGAGCCCATTAAGATGCTTAATTTTAATTGGGATGCTAAAGTTAATTTTCGCTTGTTAGATTAACTTAATTCAAGGGAAGAAAAGAGAATTATTGAATCATTTGAAAGAATAGGGATAGAACTCATTGATTGACTAGGGATTACTCTTCTTAATTGATTGAATTTCACTAGTTTACATTTTGCTCTTGATTAAAATCTGGAAATTGACAAACCTCCCCCCAATTTACTTGCTTTAAAATCTATGTTCACACTTGTTCAATGTATGTTCCCAACCAAAAATTCCTTGGAGACGAC